CTACCTCCTTAAAAGTGCTTTCTAGCGTGCTGAAGCTCAGGTGGGATGCTTGCTGCTGTTGTTTTTTAAAGTTCTTCAAGACAAGGCTTCTCCATGTAGCCTTGGCTGTCTTAGAACTCACTCTATAGACCAGGCTGGCCTCGAACTCCGAGACCCACCTGCCTCTGCTTCCCCAGGGCTGGAATTAAAGGCGTGTATCACCTTCTGGCCTTGGTTTTTTTTTGTTGTTGTTTCTTTTTTAAAGACAGGGTCTCACTTTGTAGCTCCAGGCTATCCTGAAACCATACAGCCCAATATAGCCTTAAATAGGCCATGATACTCCTTCAGCTTAGCGTGCCTATGAGTGAATCAACGTCTTCTGTACTTCATTCTATGTAGCCCTCCAGCCGGTTCTGTTCAATTATATTGGAAGAAGAAAGAAAAGGCACTTGATGCTGATTCATGGTGTCTGTCTATCTGAAGACATGATCTCACTAGGTAGCCCTGGCTGGCCTGGAACTTGCTATGCAGACCAGGCGGTCCTAGGACGTACAGCAATCTCCCTCCCTTTCTCTCTCTCACAAGTGCTGGGATTACATGCATATAGCACTACACCCCATTTCCAAGGGTTTAAAGGATACGATCTGGTTTGGGCCTTTAAGGCTTCAGAGAGGAAAGAGTAGGTACTCAAGTAAGGTGAACAGCAGAGTTACTGTACAAGAAGTCTGCAGATTATGACTACAGCCAGTAATACATACAGCACTGGGAAGGAAACAGAGGCAGCAGTTGTCTATAGTCACACAGCAGCAGAGGAGAGGTTTCATCTCATCTTCTCTTTGGGGACAGGGTCTTTTTCTGTAGCCCAGGCAGTTTCAAACTTACAATGCTCATACCTCAGCTTCGGAAAAACTGAGCTAACAGGCATCTAGCATCTTGCCTATCTCTTTGCTGTTGACTTTCTATTGCAGTAACTGTCACCATTAGAGCAAAAGTTACCATCTTTACCTCAACTATCCTAAAAAAGAAAAAAAAAACGTCCATTTTACAAATATATATAAAAATACCCAGAGAAGGCCAGGTGCGATGGCAGGTGGATCTGAGTTTGAAGCCAGACTGGTCCACATAGTGAGATCCTGTCTCCAAAAAGAAAGAGATGAACACATTAAAATAAAAAAGTATGCAGGGCCAATGTTGAGAATCCCCAAGAAGCCCAGCACAAAGGCACATGCCTGTAATTCCAGCACCTTTGAAGCTGAGGCAGGAAAGCTACTGAGCTCAAGGCCATGAGCCATACAGCAAGTTCAAGACCAAACTAAGCTTATAAACTCTATCCCCCTACCTGGAGGAGGAAAGGGGAGAGAGAGGGAGAGAAGATGGGGGAGAGGGAGAGAAGGGTGGGGGAAAAGGATGAATTCAAGCTGGGGAGGTAGCTTAGCTGCAGAATGTTTCCTTACATGGGGAAGGTCTGGGTCTCAATGTCCAGGACCGGGGTGGGGCAGCACTGCAGCATGACACAGGTCAGCAGGTAACAGCATCCACTAACTGCCACCCATGCCCGACAACTAGGGAGCCCCAGAGTCCATGTAAAGTAGGAGGAGAGAACAAACACCACCAATCTCTTTGATCCCACAACAGTAAATTATTATTATTAGGCTTATTTGAGACAGGGTATCTCCGAGTAGTTTTGGTGCCTGTCCTGGAACTCGTTCTGTAGACTAGGCTGGCCTCGAACTCACAGAGAACCGCCTGCCTCTGCCTTCCGAGTGCTGGGTCTAAAGGCGTGTGCCACCTCCGCCCAACTTTAGTAAAATGTTTTTAAGAAACAGAGCTGGAGAGATGGCTCAGCTCTTGCAGAGGAACTGAGTTCTGTTCCCAGCACCCACAAGGTGACTCACAACCATGTGTAACCCAGTTCCAGTGTACTTGATATCCTCCATTATTACACATAAAAACCCCACAGGCAAATCCCTGAACTCTTGGTCCCTCTCTGCTTTGGCACACCGTTTTTGGGAAGGACTGGGAGGTGTGTCACCGAAGGGGAGAGGGGTCCAGCGTTAAGGCTTCAAACCCCCACACCATTCCCATTTAGCCCGCACCGCCTCAAGGCTGTCTCCGTCTGTGAGCAGAGCTCTCAGCAATAGCCCCTGCTGATGGTCAACGACTCCAATCCTCCATCGCAAACCCCCCTCCGAATAAAACCTTCCTTTAACGAACGGCCTTGATCGTGGCGTTTTGTCACAGCAATAGAAAAGTAACCGAGACACAGTGAATCTGGGAAGAAATCAGTGTACTACAGGCCGAGACAAAGCAACTGCTCAACAGTAGCACAAGGTGGGTTCTTATTCGGATGAAAAAGACGGCAACCAGCCGGGCATAGAAATCCGGTGCACTTTAAGGGGAATCAAGGTCTGTCACAGAACCCACTGCCTCTTTTGCCTGCCCCCGCCAATATTAAAACGGAGAATTCACCTCCTCTCAGAGAGGGTGCTTAGCAGCAGACAACTCCAACACACATTTACTCAGTAATCACTTCATGCTACACTGTGTCAGGTGCAACTATTTTAGCCTCTGATAAAAAGCTGGCTGTTCTTTCCCTATAGGAATCCCAGTCTGGAGGAGGTTGGGGTGGGAGGCTGTAATGAAACCTCAATGTTGAAAAGATGACCCTGCTAGCAATGTGGGAGATGACTTTATCTTCTGAGCCTACTGAAAGCAGACACCACAGCAGAAAGCCACCCAACTCTTGATGGCTCGTGCATGATGGGATATGTAGTCTTGAGGCAAGCGGGCGCAACACTTTTTAGGAGAAAGGCGAGCCTGAAGCCAGGTGTGGTGGCGTATTTAGGAGAGGGGCAAGAGGATCTGAAGCCCAGCTAGGCTACAGGAAACCCTGTCTCAAAAGAAAAAAAAGGAGGCTAGAGCAAGAAGATCTTGAGTTCGAGGTCAGCCTGGACGACACAGAGGAACTGGTTTAAGAAAGAGAAAAGCACCAGCCTGGGCTACAGAGTGAGAGCCAGAACTACAGAGAAACCCTGTCTCGGAGGGGGAGGAAAAGCTTCAATATTAAATATTTATGTAAGTATTTTCCATAATGGCAATTGAACACGGCAAGCACTGAGCCATATCCCAAAGCCTTAACTAAAAACTGCTTTAAACTCATTGTGTAACCGTCCACAATTCTCCAAATGGATGACCCCTCCAGTCAAAGAAGCCGGACCCAACTGACACCCCCTCAAAGTTAACAGCATGATTATGTAACTATGATAAATTGTTTCTAAGGGAGAACATGAATTCTAGGGATGTATAAATGTCATCTATGTGTTATCAGTACTGACTGTTAGCCACAGAATGCCCCGAACACAAAATACCCCACGCTGAAATACAATTTGCTTCCTGTCTCTAGTATATCCTGATTCAGGCAGTCTTCACTACAGGACTTTTGAGTGTGACCCATCTAAGTCAGGCAGATAAGCTTGGAATGTCTCGTTCCCACTGGGTCAGAAGCAAAGATAAGTTACAGTGTAACTGTAAACACTGCTTTACTGGTACTTTTGAATAGTTCTGAATTAAGGGCCATTGTGCCAGAAGGAAAAAAAAAAAACAAAAAAAAAAACACACACCTATTGAACTATTTCTGTGTTATATTAGTTTGCTGTGGTAATAATTTGTAAATTACCCAACCCACCACTCTAAGTGACAGAACCAGAAATGCTATTTGCTCTCCCTTCCCATGCAAGTTCTTATTTGGTCGCACTCACTCTAAAGAATCTACGCTTTTGTTAGGCTAAGCGGCCCCTCAAGTGGTGTATATAACCGTGGTTACTTTCTCATTTGAGTCTTATTTTCTGTAATTATCTAAAGCTGACAAGGATGATAGATCCTAGTGAAATTATTCTCGTTCATTTACTCTCTTTTTAATGGAGGCCTCTGAAGCTTAATGTAAACTACTGTATGCCATGCCATGGACAAAATAATGGCCTGTCTCAAGTAAGCACTTAGGATCGTTCCGCAGCCACTGAGTGACCTTGGTTAGAAACCGATGGTTCTGAGGTGGGGACGAGGAGAAATACCCTGGGACCCAGGACCCGTGCTCCGCCTCCTCCCTAAGGCTCGAGGATGCCTGCCTGATCCGCAGACAAGGGGCCGTCTACACTGACTCACCTAGATACTGAAAGATACAGATCGGAGGGGGAGGGGACGGGTAAGTCCTCCACATAGGAAGTGCAGCAAGAACACGGAGGTAAGGACGTGGCCCTAAGCGGGAACCTAGGCTTTCTCCTTCCCGGATCTGCCCCTGCCCCCACCCCGACTCCGGGCCGAGCGCCTCCCGGCTGCCACCGACCGGCAAGGAGGCAGCGGCAGCCAGGCCCGCCGGAGAGTGGAGGGCGCCCGCGCTGCGTAGGCCCAACCGCCCCCGCGCCCCGCCGGTCCTCCGGGCCCGATCCCGCAGGAGAGTGGCCTCACCAGGGGGCGAAGAACTCGACTAGCATGAGGCCCGCTGAGCCCGTGTCCGAGACGCGACTCTCGAAGTTTTCGTCCGTGAGTTCCAGCACGTCGGAGGCGGCGGCGAGGCGGGCCGAGGCGAGCAGCAGCGCCACGCCCGGGAGCAGCGTTAGGCGGCTGAAGCGCATGGCGGCGAGACGCGGCGGGGGGGGCGGTCGGAGGGTCGGGACCGGGGAACCGAGAAGGGAGAACCCGCAACCTGCAGCCGCTGCCTGCGCTCGCGCGTCTGGCCCGGGCGGACCTGCTGCCGAGGTCCCCACCCCCTAGGCCGGCTCGGGGGCCGCAGTGTGGCAGCCGCCGATTGGCTGCATCCCCGCCGCGTCGGGCGGGATGAACCAGCTGGTAACTGCCGATTGGCGGGCGCGCGGGGCCGGGCGGAGCGGACGCTGTGGCGGAGGCCGTGGCGGGGGTCGGCGGGAAGTGAGGCTCGGCGCTGCCGGAGCGGCCCTGAGCTCGGCCTGCGGAGGGGGGAGTGGAGCTCAGGGCGCCGGCGCGGGAGGCGGAGGGGTGAAGTCAGGGCTGAGTGGGCGGAAGTGCGCTGGGGCTGAAGGGAGGCCCGGAAGCGGTCCCGAGGGGAGCTTGAGCTGCTTCCCTCCCTCGCTGCCTCCCTCCCTCCCTCGCTGCCTCCCTCCCTCCCTCCTTCCCTCCCTCCCTCCGGGGCGTTGGGGCGCTCGCACACTTGGGCACCAGACGACACGTTTTCCAAATGTCAGGCTGTTGACTTGTCCAACTATAGGGCGTAGTAGCCCTACATCCTGCCGCTGCCCTACCTCGTATCCTGCTTGGTCAGGTTCACGTGAGGTCTGTATTCTTTGTCCAGACTTAGGCCTTCTGCCCCCTTGCCTGCGACGTTTTCACTGATGGCTGTGTTTTGTTCCTTTGGAGAGGGTGGGTATTTGAGGATTGAACCAGGAACCTTGTACAAGGCTGGGCAAGTGATCCATCGCCGAATTATATCGCTGGTCCCAGTCCTTTTTTGACTTTTTAAAAGAGACATGATCGCACTAAGTCTCCCAGCTTGGCCTCGAGTTCATTCTAGAATACTGTTCTCTAAGCCTGGTAGACCTAGAACTTCCCCGTCCTCTGGCCTCAGCCCCCCCAAGTATCAGGGACTGGTCTGCACCACCAGGCTCAGGCTCAGCTTTTACTTTTTTTTTTTGACAAGGTCTCACTGTGTGGCGCTGGCTGGCCTGGAACTAGCTATGTAGACCAGACTGGCCTCGAACTCAACAGAGATCTACCAGCCATTTGAGATTAGAAGTATGCGTCCCCACTGCCAGCCTTTTAAAGCTGAATTTTTAAAAAGAAATATTTAATTACAAATGCTGTCAGAAAGTGAAAATACCTGGATATTTAGTTGACTGGAAATATCTTCTATGATTCCTCTATCTTTTGCATAAACAAACAAAAAAAACAAAACCAAAGAACAAAAAAATTTTGAGTCTTTCAGTGCGTTTGTACTTTACTGCTCGTGGTTTCTTCGTATGGGCTCCTTTGATCTCTGAAAGGCAAAGAAGGGGGGGGGGACTCTAATCTTAATGAAACTCTTGAGAATGAGATGACCCTTGGTTCTATTTTCCTAACAGACATGGCACAGGACCGAGGACACGTACAGCTACCCAGAGCTGATGCCATTCGTTCACGGCTGATCGACACTTTCTCTCTCATAGAGCATTTGCAAGGCTTGAGCCAAGCCGTGCCGAGGCACACGGTCCGGGAGATACTTGGTTAGCAGCCTGTTCGGTCACACTAAATGTAATATTCCTGCCCACATCCTCAAAAGATAGAAAGTAGAGACGTATTGAAGGGTGGAGCCAGGAATGGTAGTATATGACTGAGTTAGGGAGATCACAAGTTTGAGACTAGCCTAGGCTACATAGCAAGATCCTGGTTCAAAACAACCACAACCACAATAACAAAATAGGGCTGGCAAGATGGCTTAGCGAGTGAAGGTGCGTGCTGCCAATACTGATAACCTGAGTTTGACTCTCGGGACCTACCTGGAAGAGGCACCAGGAGTTCAAGGTCATTCTTGGTTATATAGTTATAAAGGACAATATGGGTTGTATGAGACTCTATATCAAATAATGGGACCAGTGAGATGGCTCAGGGAGTAAAACATACTTGCTGCCATGTCTGAAAACCTGAGTTCCATACCCAGGCCCCACATGATATAAGAAAACAATCTACTCCTGCGGTTGTACACACACACACACACACACACACACACACACACAGAGTTTTTTTTTTTTAAAGTACAAATAAAAGGACAATTTAGGGACGAGAAGCCACACTAAACTTGATAAGTTCAGGGCTTTAGACCTCTGTCTCTTCCTCTGAGTCCTAGCTAGGTAACCCTGACTTTGCAAAGTTTCCGCCAAAGGTATTTAAAACTTGGAGGTTTCTGCGCTGGTTATGGTGGCACATGCTTTAAATCCCAGCGCTTAGAAGGCAAACAGGCCAGTGGATCTCTGAGTTGGAGAGAGCCCGGTCTACACAGCCTGTTCTAAGCCAGCTGGGACTTGAGGTTTGTACCTGCTGCTTTCATGAGCACAGTCAATGCGAGGCATGAACTATACATTTTAACTTCACACTAACAGAATTCTTAGTCACTCTGAAGAAACAGCTTACAAGGCAGAGCTGCTACTGCATGTAGACAGTCCATTGTTTCACCAGTATCCCTATCCCCTACTCTACCTGCTGTCCACCGTCCCCCAGTCTGTCTGTCTGTCTACTCTCTGTTTGGGAGGGGGGGAGGCTGGGGAGAGAAGGCAGTCTTACGTGTTGCCCAGTCCTGGTGGACTCAAGCTGAATGACAGGCACACCCAGGTACCTTTTCCATTTTTCTTCCAGATCCTTCTCGGCAGAAGAAACTCATGTCAGGAGACCAACACCAGCTCGTGCGCTTCTCCATAAAGCCCCAGCACATGGGGCACATCACACACTCCCAGCGAATGCTGAGCAGGCTCCGTGTGAGGTGCAGCCAGAGGCCACCTCTGTCCCTGTGGGCTGGATGGGTTCTTGAGAGTATCCTTTTGTGTTACTTGCTCTTGCTGTGGCTCTCCCTCATCCGTTACTGACTGATTTTCCCTCTCTCAAACTATTTTCTTCAAATTCTCATATCTGACACTGTTGACCTTACTATTTCAGCTGCATAAATGAGAAAGTACTCCATCTGTGTGTTTCCTTAAAAGAAAACAGGTCCCATCTTCTCGAAATTCATCATCTCCCTCATCTTTCTGAATACAATTGTACTGATGGTCGAAATAGGTGAGAACCGGTGCTGAATGAAAAAGGTAGTGTGTGGGAGATACTTTTCTTCCACCCTGATCATTTTATATTTTCAGATATCATCTTATTGTGATGGGGACAGATTTATTTATTCATTCATTTTCTGAGACTGAGTCTCACATAATCTACACTAGCCTCAAATTTCATATGTGGTAAGGATGACCTTGACCCTCACCTCCTACTTGTACTTTCCATCTGAGATTACAGATGTGCACCATTATGCTTAGCTAAGAGAAAATGGACTCTGAAAAACCTTTTTTTTTTGGTTTTTTGAGACAGGGTTTCTCCGTGTAGCTTTGCGCCTTTCCTGGATCTCGCACTGTAGACCAGGCTGGCCTCGAACTCACAAAGATCCGCCTGCCTCTGCCTCCCGAGTGCTGGGATTAAAGGTGTGCGCCACCACCGCCCCGCTAAATTTTTTTTTATATATTTATTATGTATGCAGTGTTCTGCCTACAGGCTAGAAGAGGGCACCAGATCTCATTACAGATGATTGTGAGCCACCATGTGGTTGCTTGGACTTGAACTCAGGACCTCTGGAAGAGCAGTCAATGCTTTTAACCTCTGAGCCATTTCTCCAGCCCGCTGAAAAACCATTTTTATATTATATGAAATGTATTAAAAATGGAAGGACATCTCCTTTCATTATTAACTCAGGCGGACTGCTCAGGTCAGGAGTGGTGATGGATGCCTTTAGTCCAGCACTTTGGAAGTTGAGGCAGGGTTATGAGTTAAGGCCAGCCTCACCTGTGTAGTAAAACTATCTAAAAAAAATTCATAAAAACTGCTTAGAATGAAAAGACAATAGAAATGTTTGATGGTGGTGGCGCACGCCTTTAATCCCAGCACTTGGGAAGCAGAGGCAGGCGGGTCTCTGTGAATTTGAGGCCAGTCTGGTCTACAAAGTGAGTTCCAGGACAGCCAAGGCAACAGAGAGAAACCCTGTCTCAAAAAAAAAAAAAAAGAAAACAACAACAACAAAAGTCCCCATAAGTATTTATTATTTTGATTTTATATGGTATTTCTTAATTTTTGAGGATTTTGCCAGTCTTATTTTCATATTATGTAACTTGGTCAAATAAATTGTTTTGTGACAATCTGTTTTTATATATTTATTTTATTTTGTATGTATACTTGTGCCTTCAGTGCCCATGGATGCCAGAAGAGGGCGCTGGGTTCCCCTAGACCTGAAGTTACAGATGGTTGTCCTCGGAATGGTTGCTGGGGATAGAATCCGGGGCACTCTGCCAGTGTTCTTACTGCTGGGCATCTCTCCAGGCCTTGTAATCTTACTTGTTTAAAACCAAATGCTTAGGGCTTGTAGTTTAGCCCAAGGGTGGAGTGCTTGCCTAGCATGTGAAAACCCCTGAGACTGGCCCCCAGTACTTCAAACACAAGAAAATAAAAGCAAAACATGCTTATTTCAATGGTAAGCACTATTTGAACTCGTGAATCACAAGTTGTGATTTTTTTTCCCCCAACACCAGCAATTGACCTTGGTGAAACATATATACAAATGACAGTGTGCTATTCTGCTCCATCATGCTGGATCTTCCTTCCCACCAGGGTGAACTTACCTGGTGTTCTATGAAGTGACTGATGTTGCTGTTGTGCCGTACTAGGGAGTAGCAACAGATGACTGCCTGTATCAAAACTGCCTTGTCTAATGCAGTTGTATACTTTGCCTGGCCTATCTGATTCAATACCTGCCTTCTACTCTGGAGGAAGAACGTCCACCGTGAATTAACTACGGCGGCGGCTAAGTCTCCTGGATTGACTGTATTGGGGTTCTTAGCTCTGTTTCCACTAAGGTTCTTTTGCCTTGCTAAGGCAGGCTGAATTCTTAGTTGGTTAGCTTGTTGGTGCTGGCATCTAAACCCAGGTACTCCGCAAGAGCAGTAAGTGCTCTTAACTGCTGAAACTTGTTAGTGTGTAGAGATGGGGCTCACTATCTAGCCCAGGCTAGCCCAGAACTTCCTATGTAGCCGCAGTTGTCCTCAGTTTGAGTTCTTCTGCTTCAGCCTCCCAAGTGCTACCTGGATTAAGGTGTTCAACACTAAACTTGAGTTTGTTTTTTTTGTTTGTTTGTTTTTTTTGTTTTTGGTTTTTCGAGACAGGTTTTCTCTGTGTAGCTTTGCGCCTTTCCTGGATCTCACTCTGTAGACCAGGCTGGCCTCGAACTCACAGAGATCCGCCTGGCTCTGCCTCCCGAGTGCTGGGATTAAAGGCGTGCGCCACCACTGCCCGGCGAGTTTGTTTGTTTTTAATGTAAACTAGGCCGCGCCCCCCAGAGGACTGCCTTTAAAGGAGTACATTATAACACCAGGCTTATTTTGTTCCAGGGTCTCACTAAAGAGTCTTGGCTGGCCTTAGTTCACTGTATAATCTGAGCTGCCTGTGAACTTTTGATCCTCCTCCCTCAGTCTCCCAAGTAGTAGAATGAAAGAATGGTTATATTTCATCTCCAGACAGTACACCTTTTCATTAGCTGATGCAGCATTGGCAGTGGTCTCCCCTGAATGTTCTGTCTCACGTAAGCAATTTCTCTGTTTGCTCTTCAGATTTTTCTTCAGCCTGCCTCTGCCTCCTGAGTGCTGGGATTAAAGGCGTGCACCACCACCACCCAGCCATTTTACTGTTTTTTTTTAAAGCCAGGCAGTGGTGGCACATGCCCAGCACTTGGGAGCAGAGGCAGGTGGATCTCTGTGACTTTGAGGCCACCCTGGTCTACAGAGAGAGTTCCAGGACAGCTATGGCTGTCTTGAAAAACCAAAAAAAAGTTTTTAAAAAAAGATTTCTCTCTCTCTCTCTCTGCTCTGTGTGTGTGTGTGTGTGTGTGTGTGTGTGTGTGTGTGTGTGTGTGTGTAAGTGCCAACAGAGGCCAGAAGAAGGTGTAGGATTCCCTAGAGCTGGAGCTCTAGACAGTTGTGTATTCTTAAGGTGTAAACTGTCTCTCCACCTCCAGATTATGTCATTGTCTTTATGGAATTCTGTCTGTGAAGGCAGAACTGAATAAACATTATTGCATTCTATTTTCCAGACTTCAGTGTGGTCCTCAGCACCTTCTACTACTATAATCCCCTGCTTCTGGGGGCCAGACTTTATTGTGTGTTTGTTTGTTTAATTACTTGTGTGTGTGTGTGTGTGTGTGTGTGTGTGTGTGTGTGTGTGTGTGTGTGTGTAGGTACAGGTGTCATGGCTCACATGTGGAGGTCAGAGAACAATTTGCAGAAGTCAGCTCTCTCTTTCCTGGGGATCAGACTCGGGTTGTTAGGCTTCCCAGTCAGCACTTCACTCCCCGAGCCGCCTGCTTGCTGGCCCAGAGCTATTGTTTTGAATTTAAGCTCCCATCATTGGTGAATTACACTACTTATTTACCACTAAGAAATAAAAGTCATCCTAGGACACATCAATTGTAAAAGGCATCTTTGAAATTATTCAGAAGTTTAATTTTTTAAAAAGATTTAATCTCCCATTTCTGTTTTCACTCTGTTTACAAGACTGATTGCTTTCCTATAACTTTTAGGACAAGCTTAGCTGTATAGCATATTGTGGGGGTGTAGTACAGAGAGGAATTCTGTAGGGTTGTATGACTGTGGAGTGGGTTGTAAGTGACTTGCAACTGTTACTTATACTAGTAACAAGAGGTAAAGTATAGCTATTGTTTTATGGGTAATCCTACCCTGTATTACATAGGTTGAAGCAAGATTTGATTCTACAGGTTTGATTCTAACATCAGTACAGTGGCTTACAACAGTCTGTAACTCCAGTTCCAGGGGATCTGGCACCCTCTTCTGACTTCAAGCAGCAGGCACACATGTGGTACACACACACACACACACACACACACACACACACACACACACACGCAGGCAAAATATTCATATACATTAAAAAAATCTAAGACATTCAAGAGAAATGGACTAGTAGTGGTTACAGCTCTGGTTTATAAGTGATAATCCTTCATTACTCAGCTTCTCACTTAACTTTTATTTCTCCCTTGCTCTACCTTACAGAATTGATGGAATCCACAAATACTAAACTGTGGCCATTGAAGCTGGCTTTGGAGGTTGCAGATTGGTTTATTTTACTTAGCTTCATTGTAGAGATCCTTCTAATGTGGATGTCCAGTTTTACTCTCTTCTGGAATAATGCCTGGAATGTCTTTGACTTTGCTGTTACCATGTTGGTAAGGAGAAATAGCCTTAGGATTAGTTAATGGGACCAGCAATATGCCTTGGTAAATTAAATTAATTAAAACCTCCAGGAAGGAATATATAGAAATTTATCAAATTGCTGCTTTGATTTTTTTGTCTTAAAACTAAAAAGTAATTGCAGAAATTGTCATTAGGAGTATCAGCCCCTAAGATGACATCTGCTAGTTACTGAGCACTAAGTTCCAGCTACGGTTTTAATTATTTTGTGTGGATTATCTTCTTTATGTTCTGTAACAAATCAAGGGATAAGCACTAATTTAATCCCATTTTTTAAATATCTAAATAAGTTGAAGTACAGAGCTTAAATATATTAATATAAAAAGACTAAATAGCAAACAGTCCCCAGAGAATGCTGTTCAAAGATAACACCCAGAAAACTATAAAGAAGATGGCATGAAGAGGGGCGACTGCCTGGGTTCTTTGGGTAGCCTTCCTTATTGCCTCTGTCTCCCGCAGTCTCTGCTTCCTGAGTTTGTGGTGTTGATAGGAGTCTCAAGGACGTCTGTGTGGCTTCAGCTGCTGAGGATCTCCCGGGTGCTGAGGTCTCTCAAACTGTTTGCACGATTCCCTCAAATTAAAGTTATTATATTGGCTCTGGCCAGGGCCCTGAAGGTGACTTACACTGGTTAACCTAAAGTGGGATGGGGGACAAGGTAGAAAGACACGGGTTTAGTATTTAATATGGTCCAAAAAAGTCATGAAAGGTTGTGTGAAATGTTCTTGTATGAGAACATTTGTATGTCATTAGGAGCATCAACCCCTAAAATAACCAGTACCAGTTACTGAGCACTAAGTACCAGCCACTGTTTTAAACAGTTTATGTGGATTATCTTTATGTTCTGGAACAACTCAAGAGGTAAGCACTAACTTTATCCCATTTTTAAAAATATTTAAACAAGTTGGTGTATAGAACTTAAAAAAAGTGAACTGCTGTGGTTTAGATTTATGGATTTGGTGGGAGGCGGCTGTGTGGGCTTGCCTGGGCAGCTGGTGGGATCAACCTTGCCTCACCCACCCCTGACTTGAATCCCGGCCTCTAGAGCATGACGTTCCTCTTGATGCTGCTGCTTATCTTCTTCTACATCTTTGCTGTAACTGGTGTCTACTTCTTCCAAGACTATTCCCGTTCAACTATCGAGGACCTTGAGTACAACATGTTCTTCTCGTAAGCATGGCTGAGGGCAACCTTCACGAGGGGAGAGGTTTGCGTGATACTGAGATTCTCACCCAAAGCACAGCAACACGAAAAACTAGTCTACTGTAAGAGAGTGGGATAGAATACAAAGAGAAGAAAGGAAAAACAGGGGTAGGAAGTAGAGCCAGCTCTGATGTGGGGCCTAGGACAACCAGGTTGGTTTGTTTTTTTAAGTTTTTTGAAAAGTTTAATGAAAATGTAATTGTGTCATTTCCCCTTTCCCTTCCTCTCACTAACCTCTCCCATGTTCCCTCTTCCCAACCCTCTCTTGCCCCTCCACTCACTCTTAACTCGACAGCCTCTTTTATTACTATTATTATGGGTATATATGTGGCACAAATATGTAAATACAACTTGCTGCATCTGTTTAGTGTTCCCTGTGTGTATATGATTTCAGGGCTGATCACTTTGTACTGGATAAACTGATTGGGTGATCATCCACGTGAGGGTAATCCCCCCTCTCTCCGCAGTCATCAATCAGTTGCCCTTAGTTACTTGTCTACAAGTGGGACCTCCGAGATTTCCACCTTCCACATTAGCATATCTATTGGTTCAGGTCTTGCCCTGACAGCCATATCCTGAGATATTCTGGCTGTAGCTTCCCTGTCATTTCTAGTAGATGCACTCTCAAAGCAGACTCTGTGGTTCTCTGTCTCTTAAAATTCCCTGCCCCTCTTCTGCAATGTTCTTTAAGTGCAGGAGCTGTGTGGTAGATATATCCACTGGGGCTGGGCTCCCCATGATCAATTGATCTATGCTTTATTGGTTTTCTATAATGGTCTCTGTCTGCTGCAAAGAGAAGCTTCTTTGATGCAGGGTAAGAGATACACTTACCTGTGAGTACAAGGATACGTTTTATTTTATTTATTATTTTTTTATAACTATTTTATGTGCATCGGTATGAAGGTGTCAGATCCCCTGGAACTGGAGTTACAGACAGTTGTGAGCTGCCATGTGGGTGCTGGGAAGTGAACCCAGGTACTCTGGAAGAGCAGCCAGTGTTCTTAACCATTGAGCCATCTCTCCAGCCCAAGGATAATTTTTAAAATGCAGTTAGGAATTAGGAATTAGGCTGGTCTAGTAAAGTGGTTATAGGTTTTCCTCTTAAGATCCATGATCTCACCAGCCTAGTGTAGTTGACTAGGATTCTAATACCAGACATGATTTGCCTCCTGTTGAGCAGGCCTTAAGGCCAGTTAGACAGCTATTGGTTACTTCCAGATCTGAGTGCCACTACCATACCTTTGGGGACATCTCACCATGCTGGTCATTGTTGTGGTTCATGGGCATCACAGCTGGATAAGACTACGAATTGCTTTTCTTCCTTGGAAGACTGCATAGCACCTTCTGGTATTATGAAAGCTAGACTGCAGGATGAAGGCTTTCAAATTAGATCCAGCTCAAATCTTCTGAGTCTTGTGTCCAAAGTGTATCATGTCTTCATCAATAAAACCCTCTACCTCTGAGAGGCAACCAAGGACAGCAGCAATAGCCTATACTGTTTTGTTTTGTTTGTTTGTTTGTTTCTGGTTTTTTGAGACAGGGTTTCTCCGTGTAGCTTTGGAACTTGTCCAGGATGGCCTCAAACTCACAGAGATCCACCTGCCTCTGCCTCCCAAGTGCTGGGATTAAAGGCCTGAGACACCACCACCTGGCAAATTAACCCGTTTCTATTAATCTATGCATCACATGTGGCCAGTGGCTTACTGGTACTTTCACATCTAGCTTCTTGGGCGACTCGCTGGTATCTCCCCAACTCAGCCCTCTTCTCCCTGTATCTCTGTTTGGATTTCCCGCCTGATTATATCCTGCCTTGCTATAGGCCAAAGCAGCATCTTTATTAACCAATGGTAATAAAACATATTCCCAGAGTAAACAAAGAATCCCACAGCAGAGATTTCTGTAGGTGTGTACTAATACATCCAGCTGGAATCTAATTTAGCAACATCTCAAAGGCGGTTTTGTTCTGTTTTATTTTGAGACAACATTCTCCTTTATAACCCAGGTTGGCCTTGGCAGATCTCCTGCCTCAGCCTCCCAAATATTGGGATTGCTATAATTAGATCCTTTCTTAGATTGTTTTATTTGTTTTGTTTTTCAGGCAAGTGGAATTGGAATTTTCTTTGGGCTGCCAACCAGCTCCCAAATAAAGACATGGAGACTTATTATTAATTATGAATGCTTGGCCTTAGCTTAGGCTTGTCCCACTAGCTCTTTTAACTTAATTTAAACTGTTTCTGTTCATCTACATTTTGCCTCAGGACTTTTTACCTTTCTTTCATTCTGTATGTCCTACTTTCCTGCTTCCTCTGTGTCTGCCTGTCTGGCCCCTGCATCACCCTGGTGTCTCTTTTTCTTTCTTCCTTTTTTCTTCCCCAAGCCTAAATTCCTCCTCCGACTTACTCTTCCTGCCTGGAAGTTCTGCCCATACCTCCTTCCTCACTATTGTCTGTAGCTAGAGTTTTCCTGCCTGGCCCATAGTCAGGACAAATATCTGTCACCTGCCAGTCCCACAGCCGCTCAGACCTAACCAAGTAAACACAGAGACTTATATTGCTTACAAACTGTATGGCCGTGGCAGGCTTTTTGCTAACTGTTCTTATATCTTAAATTAACCCATTTCTATAAATCTATACCTTGCCACATGGCTCGTGGCTTACTGGCATCTTTACATGCTGCTTGTCATGGCGGCGGCTGGCAGTGTCTCTCCCACTCAGCCTTCCACTTCCCAGCATTCTCCTCTCTCCTTGTCCCGCCTATACTTCCTGCCTGGCCACTGGCCAATCAGTGTTTTATTTATGCAGAACGATATCCACAGCACTATTGTCATTTGGTTTTTTATTAGATCAATCAGGTGCCTTAGGCAGACAAGGTAAAACAGCAACACATCTTTACATAGTTAAACAAATGCAACACATCTTTGCATAGTTAAACAAATGGAACACATCTTATATTTTTGGTTGTGAGCCTAGCCTTTAACGGCTGAGCCATCTCTCCAGCCCGCAACACATCTTTACATAGTTAAATATTCCAAACAGGCAAGGCCTTGACCTAAATATATAATAAAAGATGGTCTTGAACTCCTGATCATCCTCCTGCTTCCACTTTCCAAGTTCTGGGATGATAGCTATATACCATGATCACACCTCTAAACTCTTTATTTATTTATTTATTTATTTATTTATTTTTTGACAGGGTCTCCATGGATGTTGTGGGGCAGGTCTTTAATCCCAGGGTGGGGGTGGAGGTGGAACAGGTTTCACTATACCTCTGACTGGCCTGGAACTCACGAAGATCCACCTGCCTGCCTATTTGCTGAGTGCTGGGAATAAAGGCATGCACCAGCACACTTGGCTTCAGCTCTTCTTTTTTCTTTTTCTTTTTTTTTTTCTTGAAATAGGGTCTCACTATGTAGCTCAGGCTGTCCTGAAACTTACTATGTTGATCAGGCTGGCCACCATGCCTGGCTGTCAGCTCTAGACTCAACACACACTTCTGTTAAAAAAAAAAAATTGTAGCAGAGTGAGGTGGCTCATTCCTGTACTCTTAGCCCTTGACAGCTGAGGCAGGAGGATGGTTACCAGTTCCAGGCCAGCTTGGTTGATGCAGTGAGTTCTAGACCATCCAGGGCTACACAATGAGACTTTGTCACAGAAAAAATAAGCTAAAAATCAACACAAGAAATAAATAGGGAAGAAGAAAATTTTAGATACTTTGTTTTTATGGACAAAAGATTTCAGGAAAGAGCAAACCCAGGGCCTTATACATGCTATGCAAATGCTCTATGATGTAGCTTTAGTCCTTAATCTCCAAATAATTCATTTATAATTGTATGCATTTACATTTTAAATGTTATTTGTATGTATTATCATTCATTATATGGGGTTGCCATCCATTTATTTGTCTAGCAGTTGATATTGTTCTGAAACAATTACAGATATAACGTTAGATAGGAATGTTTGTTAAATTTCTTCTATTATATAAAAAAATGACATATAAAATTTATATGGAGTAGGGGTCAGAGAGATGATTCAGTGGTTAAGAGCACTGGTTGCTCTTCCACGGGACTCAATTTTAATTCCCAGTGCCCACACAGCAATTCACAATTATTTCTAACTCCAGTTCCAGGGGATTGGCCTCTCCCTTTTGGCATGCATGTGGTTCATAGACACACAAGCAGGGAAAACATCTATACACAGAATAAAAAATAAAAAAAGAGGACCTAGAGAGATGGTTCAGCAGTTAAGAGCATTGACTGCTCTTGCAGAAGACCTGGGTTTGATTCCCAGCATCCACATCCACATAGTGGCTCATAACCATCTGTAATAGTTTAGGGGATCTGTCCCCTCTTCTAATCTCAGGCACCAAGCATACATGTGGTACACACACATACATACAGGTAAAAATACTCAAGTACAAATAAAGAAATTCGTAGACTTGTAGATCATGAGCTTAGAAAAATGTTTTTAGTTGGTGATTTGTCTTTTAAGAGTTCAGTCAGGGCTCGCAAGACGGCTCATTGGGTAAGGATGCTTGCTACCAAGCTGGATAACCTGATCAATCCTGGAACCTACATGGTAGAAGGAGAGAACCAACTCTTAAAAGACATCCTTTGGCCGGGCGGTGGTGGCGCACGCCTTTAATCCCAGCACTCGGGAGGCAGAGCCAGGCGGATCTCTGTGAGTTCGAGGCCAGCCTGGGCTACCACGTGAGTCCCAGGAAAGGCGCAAAGCTACACAGAGAAACCCTGTCTCGAAAAACCAAAAAAAAAAAAAAAAAAAAAAAAAAAGACATCCTTTGAGCTCCAGATCTGGGCAGTGGCATGCACACACACACAACATAAGATAATGTAAAAAATTTAAAATAAAAGAATTTAGTCTGGAGCCAGGATGGCTTTAATCCCAGCATTTGGGTGGTGGAGGCAGGTGGAGCTCTGTAAGTTTGAGGTCAGCCTGGTCTATGTATTGAGTTCTAGGACAGCACACAGAGAAACCCTGTCTTGAAAAAAAATCAAAACAGAACAAGAGGCTGGAGAGATGGATTAGTGATTAAGAACATTGGCTGCTCTACCAGAAGACCCAGGTTCAATTCTCAGCACCCACATGGCAACTAACAGCTCCCTATGACTCCAGTTCCAGTGGAGCCAACCCTCACACAGACACACATGCAGGCAAAACACCAATGCACATCAAAGAAATAAATAGATAATTTAAAAAACACATACAAAAGAATTTAGTTAGTATGTATTTATTGAGAAAGCAGCAGCCCCAGGACTAATAAAATATTGAGAGGTATTTATAGGATATTCACGATAAAGGGGAACATAATAAAAGTGATTTCAGACTGAAGAATGGTTAGCTAGAAAATATGGAATATGATAGAAAAGGAGCCAAAATCAGAGCATATTATAAAGAAATGCCCTTAAAGTTGCTTTCAGAATAAGAATGAAGCCAGGCACAGAGGCAGGAGTTCAACTCTGTGAGTTCAAAGCCAGCCTTGTCTGCATAGTGTTCCAGTCTAGCCTGGGCTGCATAGTGAGACTCAAAACAAAAGCCAGTTTCTGAAAGGTTTGGATCTATGCTTCTGTATATTCTCACTCTGCTTTTTTAGGGACCTACCAAATTCCCTGGTGACAGTGTTCATCCTCTTCACCTTGGACCATTGGTATGCAGTACTTCAGGACGTCTGGAAGGTGCCGGAAGCCAGCCGTCTATTTAGCAGCATCTATGTGGTCCTTTGGTTGTTGGTTGGCTCCATTATCTTTCGAAATATCATAGTAGCCATGATGGGTAAGCCCGGGGAAGGTGCAACTAGGCAAGGGGGATGGTGGGAAGAAACTGGCCGTTTGGGGTTGGTGGACTATTGGGAGAGAACCTAGTGTAGCAAGGAAGTTTGGATATTGGAATCGTTATTTCACTTTGTGTCTCCCCACTTAAGCACTCTTCTTGGTCTAGTCACTATCATTTTCCAACTCCTAATGGCCCTTTGGGGCAGTTACTAACTTTCAGAATATTAGAAACGAGCTGAGTGAGGAGATGACCCACCTGGAGGTTCAGTATAAAGCTGACATATTCAAGCGACAGATTATCCAGAGGTTAGCTTCTGTGTGTTTAAACCCAGTGTTATTTCTCAACTCATTTCCTGTTTCTTTTCCTTGGCCCTATGACCTCATTTTTGCCTAAAGGTAAGAAGTCCCCATTCTACTTTTTCTTTATAAGCAATGGGGTTTCTCTAATCCCCTTCATTACTTAGTTTTCTGTCCTTATAGATCTGAATTGTTTATTAGACATCTTCTGAGTTGTAGCTTTTTTTCTAATTTTAATTTTTTTGTTTTGTTTTATAGGAGACAAAACCTGTCCCCTGAATTAGTAAGGTAAAGTAATAGCAACATGGATGACAGGTTAGGAGTAAGTATGTGAATTGGGATGGAAATATAAGAAGGAGTAGATGGTAGAAATCATCAGTACCCCAAAAATTATTTATCCATGTCCTAACTCTTTAAAACCTGTGAATGTGACTTTATTTGAAAAGGGGTCTTTGTAGATGTGGTTAATCTAAAGATCTTGAAATGGGCTGTCCTGGGTTATTTGAGGAGGTTCTGAATTAGCAACAAAGATCCTCTAGGAAACCAAGAGAAGCCATGGCAGCAGAGAATAGGTGAACGTGTGGGGTTTTGTTTGTTTTGTTGAGACAGGGTCTCTTTGTGTAGTCCTGGCTGTCCTGGAACTTGATGGCTGGTCTCAAGCTCTTGGAAATCCTCCTGCCTCTGCCTCCGAGTGTTGGGATTAAACATATGTGCCACCACACCTGGCTGATTATTTTGTTTTTTGTGGAGATTTTTTTTCTTAAATTTTTTTAAAATTTTGACTTGGACATAGTAGTACATGCCTTTACCAATCATGTCTGGCGATGGTTGTAATTTTAAACAGGATAACTAGGACATCCTCACTGAAAGAAATAATGTGAGCAAAGACTTGAAGCGATGAAATTTCCATGAGTATATCTATAGTGAGAGTGCTAGTAGCAGAGAGAAGAGCTGCTGCAAAGATCTTAAACTGGAAGCATACCTACTGTGTTTGAGAAACAGTAATGCCCATTGTAAAAGGAGCAGAAAAAGAGTGACAGGAGGTGAGGGCAGAGAAATAATGGATTGGGTATTAGCTACTTTTCTGCAGCTGTGATAAAACGCCATGACCAAGGTAACTTACTGAAAGGAAAAGTTTATTTTGGCTCATGTTTCCAGAGGGAGTGGAATAATGACAGAGGGGGCATGGCAGCGGGTAGCCAGAGCAGGAAGCTGAGAAATCACAGCTTTAACTGCAAACATGAAGCAGAGAGAGTGATCTGGAAGTGGGACAAGGCTGTGAACTCTCAAAATCTGTCCCTAGTGGCATAATTTCTCCAGCAAAGCTCCACTTTCTGAAGTTTCCACAACCTTCCCAAATAGCACCACCAACCAGGTACCAAGTGTTAAAATACATGAACCTGTGGGAGACTGTAGGCAGAGTTCTTTGACGGGTTCCCCAAATGACCACACAGAGACATTATTAATTATAAATGCTCAGCTGATAGCTTAGGCTTGTTACTAACTAGCCCTTTCAACTTAAATTGACCCATATTTCTTATCTGTGCTCTACCACATGGTGGTACCTTCTTTCAGTGCAGCATATTCACCTCCTGCTTCCTCTGTGTCTGACTGGCCACTCTGACTTCCTTCTTCCCAGAGTTCCCTCAGTTTGGCTCTCTCGCCTAACCTCTTTCTGCCTGGCCATTGACCAATCAGTTTTTTTTTTTTAGATTTATTTATTATGTATACGGAAGAGGGCGCCAGATCTCATTACAGATGGTTGTCAGCCACCATGTAGGTGCTGGGAATTGAACTCAGGACCTCTGGAAGAGCAGTCGGTGCTCTTAACCTCTGAGCCATCTCTCCAGCCTGACCAATCAGTTTTTTATTATCAATGAAAGCAACACATCTTCACAGTGTACAAAAGGATTATTCCACAGCAGGAGGCATTGCTCATTCAAACCACCCCAGCATGGGAACATGATTCTGTAGGGTGATAGGAGGTTATTGTAGGCTCTTAAATCTTATTTATAGCAAATGGAAGCAGAGCTGAGGAATGGCATGAAGTGATTTACATTTAAAAACAGGATCTTCTGTTGGACTAGTATGGGAAGGAAGAGATCAGTTATGAAAGATACATTGGGGATGGCTGAGCTAGAAAGTACCTAAGCCTAGAGTCTGAGAACAGTTTGGCTCTTAAAGCTGTAAATCAAAGCTTTAGGGATGGCTAGGCTCAGAACTAGCATAATAAGTGGACTATTATATCTTGCAAGTATATTTGAAGCAATAAAATTTATTTCTTTATATATAGAGAAACGAGTCAAGGAAAGCACTCTGAAGACTTACTAGAGCCATCTAAAGGGTCTGGAGCCAGTGATGCTGAAAACACTGATGATGAGAAAAGTGATGCCGAGAGAAGTGATGCGGATAAAAGTGATGCCGAGAGAAGTGATGCTGAGAGAAGTGATGCCGAGAGAAGTGATGCCGAGAGAAGTGATGCTGAGAGAAATGATGCGGATAAAAGTGATGCTGAGAAAAGTGATGCTGAGGAAAGTGATGCTGAAGCTAAGAAAGGACAAAAAGAATCGTCAAAATCGAAAGTCGACCCAGCCCCCGCTTCCAACTCTTTATCCTCCTACGGTTCCTCTGTAGTTGATTTTGATTTTGTTGGTAAGCAGAATGGGTCCTTCCATTTGAATTCAGGTTCATCTTGCTTAATTCAACCACAGTCATTGTTTTGCAGCCCAGGATGACTTCAAACCCTCAATTGTCCTGCCTTACTCTCCAGATAACGGGAGGGCGGCATGCATAAGATATCCATGTTGTCACCACTTCCTCCCCTTTCTCCTTTTCCCCCCTTCCCTTTTACACTTACACTGTAGCTCAAGCTAGCTTAGAACTCACTATGTAACACTAGCAAGCCCAGTGTCTCAACCTTCCAAGCTCTGGGATTGCAGGTGTGTACCACCACATCTGGCCTAGACATGTTTTTAAGAAGCATTCTTCCTTACAGATAATTTGGACTGGGAGACTCTTGTTCATGAGAACCTGCCTGGGTTAATGGATATGGATCAGGACGACCGTGTTGTTTGGCCCAGAGATTCACTTTTCCGGTATTTTGAGTTACTGGAAAAGCTTCAGTATAACTTGGAGGAGCGCAAGAAGTTGCAAGAATTTGCAGGTGAGAACTTAAGGCAGTCCTGGGGTCCAGAAGTTTTAAGTATATGAAAGTAGCACCTTAGCCTCAATTACTCCTGCTACTCTGAAACAGTAATTTAGAAAAGAGCTAGAAATCATCTCCACCAGGGGGCGCTCATGTCTTACAAGAGCTGAAAGCTTGAGTCTCAGGAGGCTATTACTAAGTTGGTATTGTTGAGATCAGGCCAAGGTTTTGTATGTGAATATACATGTGTGCATTGTGACGCAGAAAGGCCATGGGAACGTATAGCATTTAGGGGTCAGCAAGATGGCTCAGTGAGTACAGGTACTTGTTACCAAGCCTGATAACTGGAAGGAAAGAGCCAACTTCTGAAAGTTGTCCTTAGATCTCCATGCTGTGCCATGGAGTTCAGGGCAGGATATCAAAGACTGTTTCTGTCTGTATCAAAATGTTACCTGAGGTTAGTTCTTTTCTTCCCAGTCATTCTTAGCCATATTCTGGTAGAGAGAGACAAGATGGAGGAAGGAAGAAGCAGAAAGGAACTTTTTAAATTTTTGTTTTGTGAGTCAGGGTCTCACTTGTAGGTTTTTGTTTGTTTTTTCGAGACAAGGTTTCTCTGTGTAGTTTTGGTGCCTGTCCTGGATCTCGCTCTGTAGACCAGGCTGGCCTCAAACTCACAGAGATCCACCTGGCTCTGCTTCCCGAGTGCTGGGACTAAAGGCGTGCGCCACCACTGCCCGGCAGTAGTTCTTCACTATGTTGCTATATATAACCCAGGCTGGCCTCAAATCCCAGCAATCCATTGCCTCACCTGTCCAAAACAGAGCCCAAAGTTATCTATTTATCCACCTCTTCTTTCCTTCCTTCCTTCCTTCTTTCCTTCCTTCCTTCCTTCCTTCCTTCCTTCCTTTCCTCCTCCTCCTCCTCCTCCTCCTCCTCCTCCTCCTCCTCCTCCTCCTTCATCATTTCACTATGTAGCTGTGACTGGTCTGAAACTCACTATGTAGACCAGACTGACCAGGAATTACAGAAATCTTCCTGCCTCCTCTTTCCAAGTACTGGGATTAAAGATTTGCTTTACCACACTCAGCTCAGAGTCCAGATCTTTAAAAAATTATGTTTGAAGCTTTCGTACAAGTGTACAGTAGATGTTCAACATATCCCACATTCCTTTTTTGCTTCCTTGCTTCCTTCCTTTCCTTTTGGTTTTTTGAGACAGAGTTTTTCTGTGTAACAGCTCTGGCTATCCTGGAACTCACTCTGTAGAGGTTGGCCTTGAACTCACAGAGAATCCGCCTGCCTCTGCCTCCTGAGTGCTGGGATTAAAGGCGTGCACCACTACTGCCCGGCTTTCCCCATGCATTTCTAACCTTTCCTTTCTTCCCCTTCCTGCTACCCCATCCCCCCTTTAGCATTTATTTACTTATTGTGGAGGAGTGTGTGCATGCAGTGAGTGGTCAGAGGACAGCTTCTGAGAGGCACTTCTATCCTTCCATTATATGGGTTCTGAGAACTGAACTTGGACAGTCAGGCTGGGCAGCAAGTGTCTTTATCTGCTGAGCTACCCTGCTGTCTCTGCCAGTTCTCTTTGTTCCCTAAGCAGTTACATCTGAGCTTTCTTTCATGTCATATATACATGTATGATCTTATGTATCTATATAAAATCTAGGAACCACAAATGGAGGAAATAAATGGTATTTTATTTTCAAAGTTATTCCAAGGCTGCAGAGCTCAGACCTTGATGAACTTGTTTATGGTAAAGAAAAGGTAGGTTTAAGCATCCTAGAGCAAATATCAGTTGAGATTTATGTGGGAATCTGGAACCCAGGAAGCAAGGTCTTTGGCAAACATACATGTGTTCACACATCCTTAGCTGCTGGCCTCACAGTCTGTCTCTTTACAGTCCAGGCCCTGATGAGTTTTGAAGACAAGTAGAGGTCCAATGGATGGCAGGCGTGTCTTTGGACCCAGCAAAAGCTAATGAAGGGAATAGTTGGAAATAGAGAATTCAAAATATAAATATCTAATAAATACTGCTAATGAATATTTCCGGTAAGTTAATTAAATATTTTTGTGAGATGTAGATGATACAAAAAGGCAAAAAGTTACTTCAGAGGCTATTGGAGCCTGTGCTTCTTCCTGGCCTACCAGCCTGTCTCCGGTCCCTGCTGGGACTCTTCAGGACTGTACCATTCTAGCTCCTGTTCTTCTTCTAACTTCTACTTCCTAGTAAGAACTCAAATCCCACTTTATTTTGGCTAGTCTGTGAAGGCTTCTATGTGGAATAACTAAATCCTCAGGGACATTAGTGTAGCTACTCGAGAAGTGATGTTTCCATTGTCCGCTCTGCTGATACTGTTCCTCTGGTGCACCATTAGCTTTCTTTCTCAGTGCTAGGACAGGACCCAGGGCTTCACACATGGTCGGCCTGGGCTTTGCCAGTCACTTACATCTCTAGCTTCCTTTTTATTGACTTTATTTCAGTCCCAGAATCAGCCAACAATCCAGACCAAATGGTCCAGAATGCTCCCATGCACCATTAGCTTCAGTCACACGTTATTCATACCATTTCTGGAAAAAGATAATGCATTTCTTCATCACCCTTGTCATAGACCAGGGAAGTTTTCATGTCAGTTTATGTTCCACGGTTTGTAGGACCTCAGAAGTGATCTATTTCCCATCAAGGCAGAGACATCTTTTTTGTTTGTTTGTTTATATGTGATGCCAGAGATCAACCCCATATTCTCATGATCCTACCACTGTTCTATAACCCAGCAGGAAGCCTTTTATAATATCCCTGAAAGAGTGACTATCTAGTGGTGGTTGGTGATGGACTATCTGAAGGTATCCCATTCCGTTATGGAAGGACTCAAGTCTTTTGGGTAGGTTTTTTGAGATGGAGTCTCTGGTTTCACCCCAGGCTGGCCCCAAACTTACTATGTAATACAGACTGGCCTTGAACTCCTGCCTCTTGGGTCATAGGGTTACATGCCCAGCATATGACTTATTTCTTTGGAAATGCTTATTATTAAAAATTCTATCAACCTTGGCTGAGGAGATGGTTCAGTGGTAAAGAGCATTTACTACTCTTGCAGAGGACCCAGGTTCAGTTCCCAGCACCCTCATGGTGGCTCACAACTTCCTGTAACTCCAGGTCCAGGGATCTGACACCCTCTTCTGCTCTTCTCAGGCACTACATGCACATGGTGCACAAACAGATGCACATAGAAATGCAAAACACACATGCACATAAAATCAATAAACATTTTTAAAAATTCTGTTACCTGTTGAGTGCTTGATCTATGTATAAACAATTTAATATATATATGTGCTACACAATATACTCTATATTTGGAGTATGTATGTATATAAAATAACCAGATGTGTAAGACAAACTCCCATTTTAAATTATTTTTTTTTGTGGGGGGAGTGGATTTTCAAGACAGGGTTTCTCTGTGCAGTCCTGGATGTCCTGAATTCCCTTTGTAGACCAGGCTGGCCTCGAACTCACAGAGATCCACCTGCCTCTGCCTCCTGAGTTCTGGGATTAAAGGTGTGTGCCACCACTGCCTGGCCCATTTTAATTTTTTTAATTGAAAACTTCTTTTTCTTTGAGACAGAGTTTCACTTCATACATAGTCCATGCTGGACTAGAACTTTTTATGTAGTCCAGACTGGCTTGAGCTCTGTGGATAGTTAGACCTTGTCTCAAAAACAAGCATAGTGCTGAGATGGCTTGGTTGATAAGGTGCTTGTCGGGGAATTCTAAGGATGTAAGGTCCTTATGAGTTCAGGTCCTAACACCCACACAGGAGCCAGGCATGACAACATGTCTACTACCCTAGTTCTGGGATGCAGAGACAGGAGATCCCAGGACTCACTTGCCAGCCACTCTAGCCAAAACGGAGTTCCAGGTTCAATTAGTGTCCCTGTCTAAAATAAATAAATTAGGTGGAGAGTGATAGAGGAACATATCTGATGTTGACTTCTGGCCTCCACACATCTCTGTGTGAGTCTATACCTGTACACATATAAACACACATGCATACAGCATTTCTACCAACCCACCCCCACAAATAAAACAAATACCAAAAATAAGATAAAGCCCTGAATGGTATACTGTAAAATGTTTTATGTTATATGAATTATCTGTCCAAACAATGTATACAAAGGTTTTCTTTTTTATTAGATTTATTTATTTGTTCATTTACTTTGTATATGTCTTTATATGTGAATACCAGAAAGCGTGAGTGGAGGTGGGACTTGAACTCGGTTATTAGATTTCATAGCTGAGCCATCTTACCAGGAGGATTTCTTGAAATCAAGAACAACACAGTTGGACAAGTGCATCCTTGTAATCTCAGTACTTCGAGGTAGGGGCGGGGATCAAGAGTTAAAGGTTGAGCCAAGGACTGGCTCAGCCAGTTTTTACCTGTATTTCTGGTGCTTTATTGCTTTTTAGAGATCGTCGTCTGAGAACTAAGCAGAGATGGCTGAATTTGTAATTCTCCTGCTTGGGTGACTGGGTGACTTGTATGGACTAAGGGCATTTTCTTTGCTTGTCTTTTGTTATAATCATTCTGCTTCCAAGAACTGGAATTACAGGCATGTGACAAAATACTCAGCTTGAATAAGCATTTGTTTGTTTGTTTGTTTTTTGTTCTTGTTTTGTTTTGGTTTTTGGTTTTTTGAGACAGGGTTTCTCTGTGTAGCTTTGCGCCTTTCCTGGAACTCACTCTGTAGTCAGGCTGGCCTCGAACTCACAGACATCTGCCTAGCTCTGCCTCCCGAGTGCTGGGATTAAAGGTGTGCACCACCATCGCCCAGCCCTGTTTTTTGTTTTTCAAGACAGGGTTTCTCTTTGTAGCTCTACCTGTCCTGGAACTCGCTTTGTAGACCAGGCTGGCCTCAAACTCACAGAGATCCTCCTGCCTCTTCCTCCCAAGTGCCAGGATTAAAGGCCTGCACCACTTTAAGACTTCTTCCAGGCCAAAAAAAATAATAATAATAGAATTTTTAAATTTTTATGTATTTGTTTGTGAGTGTTTTTTCATGTACATGCCTTGTGTCCATTGGGGTCAGAAGAGGGCATCAGATTCTCTGAACTAGAGTTATAGACAGCTTTGAGCTTCCATTGAAGTGCTGGGAATTGAACCCAGGTCTTCTGGAAGAACAGCCAATTGCTAAGCTATGGCTCCAGTCTCATGTTAGAATTCTTTTTTTGTTTGTTTGTTTGTTTGTTTTATTTTTTTGAGACAGGTTTCTCTATGTACTCTTGGCTGTCCAGGATATTGCTATGTAGACCAGGTTGGCACCACACTCACAGAGATCCTGCTGTCTCTACCTCCTGGGTTTGGGATTAAAGGCATGTGCCACCACATGAGACTTCCATGATAGAAATCTTAAACCCCTGTAATGTGAGCTAGAAATAAGTGGAGTAGGAGCTGGGCTGTGGTGGCTCATTGTTTTTCTTCCTCTCTTACAAGAGGACCAACTGAAGCCTCTTCTCCCATCTTCTGTCCCTCACTACTTTGGGTTTGTTTACTTGTTTGGTTGGTTGCTTGAGACAGTGTCTCACTATGTAGCCCTGATTAGCCTTGAACTCCGGATACTCCTGCTTCGGTCTGCCAAGTGCTGAGAATAGAGGCTCGCACCACCAGAAGTCCCCACAGCTTCACTCCAGCCTTCCCCCACCAGAAGTCCCCACAGCTTCACTCCGGCCTTCCCCGTCTCATACAAATGTCTCTGCTGCTCAAAAAGAACAAAAGAAGGAAAGTAACCCTCAGAATGGATCCCAGATAGTCTAAGTAACAAACTTCAAAGCTGTCAAAAAACAGGGTTAAAGGCGTGTACCACCATGGCTTGGCTCTTGAAACTATCTTTAATTAGTTCGGTCTAACTTTAAAAGGTTATTTATAAGCCAGGCATGGTGGTGCATGCTTTTAATCCAGCACTCAGGAGGCAATCTCTCCCTGTGAGTTTGAAGCCAGTCTGCTCTACATAGTGAGTTCTAGGACACCCAGGCTGTATAGGGAGGCCTGTCTTAAGAAAGAAAAAGAAAGAAATATTATTTTTTTAGAGTATTTTTTAAAGATTTAAAAATTTGTAATTAGGCCGGGCGGTGGTGGCGCACGCCTTTAATCCCAGCACTCGGGAGGCAGAGGCAGGCGGATCTCTGTGAGTTCGAGGCCAGCCTGGTCTCCAAAGCGAGTCCCAGGAAAGGCGCAAAGCTACACAGAGAAACCCTGTCTCGGAAAAAAAAAAAAAAAAAATTTGTAATTAGCTGGGCGGTGGTGGCACACATCTTTAATCCCAGCATTTGAGTGGAAGAGTGAGTTGGAGGCCAGCTTGGTCTACAAAGTGAGTTCCAGGACAGGCTCCAAAAAGCTACACAGAGAAACCGTGTCTCAAAAAACCGAAATGAAAACAAAACATTTTTAAAAATTATTTGTATGTACCTTCGTATGGGTATGTGCGTATGAGTGCAGGTGCCTACAGAGGCCAGAGCTAGAGTTACAGTAAATTATGACCTGCTGGACATGGGAAAATGAGCTCTTACAGTTGGAGCCATCTTGCTAGCCCCTTTATTTACTTATTGACCATGTTATATACATATGAACTGTGTCTTGATCATACCCATCTCCAGTTCTCCCGTCACTCCTGAACACTCCTACACACTCCTTCTCCTCCCACTTTCAGGCCCTTGCTTCTCGTGATGGTTTTAAACCCATTGAGCCCAGTTAGTGCTGCCTTTTGCAGTGTTGCCTCATCTTGCTGGCTTGGCCTTGAGTAGAGCTTGTCCAGGTAACCATAGATGCAGTGGGTCCTCGGGGCAATGGCCGTGTGCAGTCCAAAAGAAAGCGCTTCTGGCACTGCTCCATATCTTCTGGCTCTTAACATCTTTCCACCCCTCCTTCCGTGTCCCCTGAGCCCTGTGTCGGGAGGTTGATATGTGTCCCATTTAGGGCTGAGCACTCAACAGGTACATAATCTCAGCCTTTTGACATTTATGAGTCTCTGCTTTGCTGCCCGCTGAAGAATGAGGCTTCTCTAGCCAGGGTTGAGAACAGCACTAACCTATGGGTATAAACACAAATATTTACAGGGCAGATTGGCATCATGTCCATTTAGCAAAACAATGGTAAGTTCTGCCCTAAGGCCTATGGCCTACCAAGTCGTGGAATTTTGACCATGTTTACAGTATTAGACATGAATTTCTTCCAGTGGACCAGCATTTATATTCCATCAGAAAGTAGTTGGTTTCCTCTATAACTTTCATGCCACTATTATTCCAGTGGGTATATCTTGCCTGGCAAATCAATATCATAGCATGCAGGTTCCAGTGCTGGGTAAGACCATTTATGTCTTTGATCCCCAGTAACCTGCATACCACCTTCTTATACCATGAAAGCTAACCATCAGGGAGGAAGTTTGCAGGTCAATTTCAACTTGATTTTTCTATGTCCTGCAACCCAAGTATATTATGTCTTCAGCAATAGTTTGTTTGTTTGAGACAGGGTCTTATTATGTAGCTTGGGTGGCCTCGAGCTCACTATGTAGACCAGGCTGGCCTTGAATGCATGGAGATCTCCCTACTTTAGCCTTGTGAGAACTGGCATTAAAGATATGCACCAGCACACCCCACACCCCGCCCCAGTTGGGTCTGGGTCTTACCATTATTTATTGTTGTCGTTTACGTGTGCAAATGTGTGTGTGTGCATGTGCATACATGCCCCAGTGCAGTGTGGAGGTCAAAGGACAATTTTCTGAAATCAGTTCTTCTACTGTGGATTCTGGGGATTGAACTCAGGTCCTCAGTTGTGCAGAGCAAGCTCTTGTACCGAATGAGCTTCCCTGCCTGGTCTTCTTACATTGTTTCAACTACCACGTGATGTATGCTGTTGACTTCCATTTTCTTGCCAGACCTCTTAATAACTCCAGGGGAAATAGTCAACTGCCTGCTAAACATCTGCACTCGGGTACATAATTTGTAGTATGTCCCATACTGAGCTTAATTACTGTTCCTTTGAACTTTCCCTTTCCTCTTCGCCTCCTGCTCTTTCTAGTGCTTCTAGGGATCAAATCCAGAGCTTTGCGTTGCTATGCTAGTGCTCTACCATTGAGACACATCCTTAGCCCCTCATTGCTTTTCTTATCCAGGGGAAAAATGCCACATGTTTCCCTGGCTTCGAGTAATCCTCAGTAACCTCCCCAGCTTAGCTCTGGAGGTCTTTCACAGAAGATCTTTTATTTGCAAAAGAAAATACTTGAGCTGGGGGTATGACTCAGAATATATTGCTCACCTAACACGTGCACAGCCTGGGTTCTCTTCCCAGGAAGAAAACTAGAACCCCATGTGGTGCTACGTGCTGGTAATCTTATAATGTTGCCACTACTAGGATCAGACTAGCTCAAGGCAAAGTCTCTTTTTTCTCTCTCCCTCTTTTTAAAAAACTACATTTTAAGCCGGGCGGTGGTGGCGCACGCCTTTAATCCCAGCACTCGGGAGGCAGAGCCAGGCGGATCTCTGTGAGTTCGAGGCCAGCCTGGGCTACCAAGTGAGTTCCAGGAGAGGCGCAAAGCTACACAGAGAAACCCTGTCTCGAAAAAACCAAAAAAAAAAAAAAAAAAAAACTACATTTTGCTGGGCGGTGGTGGCGCACGCCTTTAATCCCAGCACTCGGGAGGCAGAGCCAGGTGGATCTCTGTGAGTTCGAGGCCAGCCTGGGCTACCAAGTGAGTTCCAGGAAAAGGCGCAAAGCTACACAGAGAAACCCTGTCTCGGAAAAAAAAAAAAAAAAAGAAAGAAAAACTACATTTATTGCTGGGCATGGTAGCACATGCCTTTAATTCCAGCACTGGGGAGGCAGAGGCAGGCATTTCAAGGCCAGCATGATCTAAATAGCAAGTTCCAGGATAACTAGGACTGTCTCAAAAATAAACAAGTAAATAAAAAGATTACATTTATTTCTTTATTGCATGTGTGTATATCCTTATGTGTCAATGTCGCAGGATGATGCATGTTGAGGTCAGAGGACAACATAAAGGAACCAGCTCTCTCCCTTACCAAGTGACATCTGAGGATCCAACTCAGTCATTGGACTCTGTGGCAAGCAACTTTACCTTCTGAGCCATTCTG